CGCCCCAAAAAATGGAGGCCAGCATCAAGGCCACCACCACGACGCCAGCGTAGACGTTGACCAACTTGTTGGCGCTGTGCTTCTGCTCCATGGCAATGTATATGGTGGAGCTCTCCACGATGGCTCCGATAATGATGTAGTTGAACGGCACCTTGCGGCCAAGCTTGGTCCAGGACAAGGTGGCCACGCCGAAGAAGGTGCACAGAAGCCACCAGCCGTAGCGCTCCTCGGATCTATCGTGTATCATCACATCGGTCAGACTAATTATGACCCACTGCGTCAGGGCGATCATGGCCAGGATGACACTCAGTCCGTAGATCCGTGCTGCGTGGCTGATTCTCTGAACCGGCGGTTCGCCATAGACCTCCGGCTCGTTGGTTCGAAAGTTGGCTCCGCCAAATCGAGGCATTGAACGGGTACTGCAATGGCTGCATATATTTCTTGATTTCGGAATTTTATGTTTGATATTTGGAAAAGCTAATAATAAAGATCTACCGAAAAACGAAATTCCTACTGAGGTAATTCGATGAATGTACACAAGTTTGGAGGGCCTTCGAAAAGAAATCAAGCATAAACACCTATTAGCGAGGTAAGGGGTCGTGACGATCGCACCTTTAACATACAAATGTTCTGATATACGCCATACATTTTGTGGTGAAAAATAATTGTACATCCGACTAAATTAATACATTTACTAAAATGTTTTCATTCTGCCGGCTTCACCCAAATATTTAAGCTTCTTGTATACAAAGGAATATTCTATTGTAGCGTCACAAAATTGTATATCAGAACTTTTGTATGTTGATGGTGCGATCGTTAAAAGGCGTTTTTGTTTGATATCAGAACTTTCTGTTCGCTTATGTTGTAATACTCATACTCGTGTGAGCTATTGTAATAAAATTACAACTAATATATATGTAATTGCGTTATAAAGGCCAAGACCAAGCCAACTTCTAAATGTTTTCCTTTTACATAAGAATTTTTTCTCAACAAATTAATGATGCATAGTGGCAAAAAGTGGTTATAAAGTGTAAAAAGTGTATAAAGACAAATTAAGCAAAGGTAGCGTGATTAGCAAATTCTATTACCTTTTCAGCGTCATATTTGACGTATATGTAGCATAAGTTGTTTAGAAACTATAAGCTTTTAAAATTCAGCTATTTTTTTGGATTTCCCGCTAAGGAACCGGTTTATTTTAAAAGTCGTAGAACAAAGGTTTTTTATATCAAGCTTCTTAATACACCCATAGGGGTCTCAAGACCCTAAAACTAAGAAGGGATTCATACAAACCTACAAACAACGGGACAAGCCTTTTCATTTCGAAAAATCCCCAAAATTATAATTTTGGAATAACTTTTAAACGGAGCATCGGATTTTAATAATAAATACCATGTCATTCAACGCGAATTCTCAGTAAGAATATAACTTGGCTAATAGCCTGGCCATTTATCCCTACCAGCCGCAACAGCTTCAATTTTTTAAATAATCAGTTTTATGCTTTCATCGCTTTTTCTTCTAAACAAATTGAAAGTGCTAAAGTCTTGGTAAGCAATCTTTTTAGTTTTTGCAATACCTTACAATTGCTGTATCACTCGTTATGATCGGATCTTCATTGCAGATTTTCAATTCTGCGGCTATATACAGTAGTCGCCTGTTCACTCTCCTGGTGCGCTTCGTCACTACGTGGACTGCCGTCCACAAGCACGTGCTTGTTATGCGCGGAACCATTTTTTTTCGGGCAATTACGGTTCGCGAGGAAGGCACATAGGACAAATAAAGAAAGGACAAGACATAGATCAACTAAGACTAAAGAAAATGAGCTATGATTTTAGTTTTTAATACAGGGATAGCAGTTTAGAAACAAATTAAATGATAAAGGGTGTTATAACTATTAGAAAGAACGCGAAAGGGCTCGTGCTGACGTTACTCGTCAAGTAAAAGAGTATACTAGATTCGCCGGAGAGTATGCAACAGGTGGAAGGAAGCGTTTCCGACCCCATAAATTATATACATTCTTGTTCAGGATCACCAGCCGAGCCGATCTAGCCATGTCCGTCTGTCCGACTGAACGCTGAGAACTCGGAAACTGTAAGAGCTGGGCTATTTGGATTTGGCATACAGATTCCTAAGCTTCTTTCGCGGCGCAAGTTTGATTCAGCAGGGTGCCACGCCCCCTCAAATGCCCACAAGCCGCTCAAAACGGTGGCTCCAACAGTTTTGATGCTAATAAAGAAATTTTAACTGAAATGTATTGTTCTCATCAATACCTATCAATTGACTCAAATAATTTTTGCCACGCCCACAAACCTTAAAAAAATCTAAAATATGATCTCTTATATCTCGGAAACTATCAAAGATAGAGAATTTATCACGCGAATATGCCACGCCCACTCTAACGCCCACAAACGCCTAAACCTGTGGCGCCCACAATTTTCATGATAGAAAATATTTTTTTACTGAAATGTTTTAGTCCCGTTAACACCTATCTCTAACGCCCATAACGGATAAATCTGTCTGACGCCCACATAACCATATATTGAGATCCCGGTGTCGCAATATATCTCGCTTTGCTGCTTGCATATCTCCTCCTTCCTTGGTCCCTTTAGCTGAGTAACGGGTATCTGATAGTCGAGATACTCGGCTATAGCGTTCTTCCTTGTTTTGTTTTAAGTGAGTAGCGTATCATAGTAATGAGTTTTAAATCGTTATATTTGTACTTTAACCTCCGTATTTTTCATCAGTTCTGATACACAAGTATTTATTTTGCTAAACGTATTTATGAGGTGAGCTTCCACGCTTACCTAGGAACAGTAGACAAGCCTGCCAAGTGCTCCGGATAGTCGCCAATAAGCTCTACTTCAATGGTACAAACGAACACGCATATACAGAAGACCAAGATCCATGCGTCAATGAAAAATGCCAGGGAGCAGATCGGCTCGAGGTCGAGTGGCTCGTAGCGCAGGCGTCCGTGGATGAACTGGGCTTGCAAGGGGAGGATGACGACCCCCATGACGAACAAGACGGCGGAGAAGGCCACGAAGTAGTACCGGTGGGAGAGTAGCGCCAGGATGCCCAGCGGAAAGAGTGCCACCAGGCAGAGGCACACAACCACTCCGGTGAAGAGGACGTTCGGAAGACACGGCTTACGACACTTGGCTCCGCAGATCAGCAACGGGATCATCACGAGCAACATGCTTGCTATGTATATCACCAAGTCCGTGACGTCGTAGACCCTCACATAGCACGCCCCGGTCAGCGTTATGAGAGCCACAATTCCGCAGACCATTGACCAAATCACCAGTTTGCGAAGCCGTCGAACGGGCAGGCAGGCGAGGACCACCAGGATGCCGAGGGCGAGGAGCAGCCAAATGTAGGGCGGAACCGGAAGTACACTGACTACGCTGAACTTAAGTGACGAGATGATCATCAGCAGAAAGGCCGACACGGAACACAGAACTACCGCCTTAATGTATACGGTGTGTGCGAATACCCGCAGCTCATTCGCATCCGAGGGGTCTTCCGTAGTCCTTCGCCATCGCGAACAACAAGGCATCGATCAGACTTTTCCCGGCGGAAAGTTAAACGTAAGTATGATGTATATCTACATTTTGCTCGGATTGTGTATAATCTTTGAAGGCGTTTGTTAGGCTCGGTATTTCTGAAGGCCTACTGGAACTTGTATCTAATTTGCGAAGAACAATACAGTAAAAAGCAAGTATTTCTCTTAAATAAAAAACTTGCAACACCCGTTATAGTATACACCATCTTATATATATTTCCTTACTACTTAGACTACCACCAAAACGGAACTGTCCCTCTCATTTATTTACCGACCTGTAGTAAATGACAAAGATCAGCATGCAGCAGAGCAGGAAGACGAAGTGCAGGTAGATTCCGTTGGCGGAGCTGGCGGTCTCCCCGTAGGGCACTTGCTGCAGCCTTCCACAGATGTAGCGGGCCTGGAAGGGAGCCATGAAGATGATCAGGATGACGAAGACAATGGCGAAGCCGAGCATGTAGCGCAGGTCGTGGATGACCAGGAAGAGGATGAGCAGCACGACCATGGTGATGGTGGCTAGCAGGAAGACGCAGCAGGTGCAGATTAGGTTGGGCAGCAGAATGTCCGGACTCTTGGCCCCGTACAGGTGCAGCAAAGCCAGAAGCGCGCCGGCGAGCACCATGGCCACCAGGAGGACCCACACGTTCACCAGATGCATGTAGTATGATCCGTACAGGGTGACGAAGAACAAGGATCCCAGGACCAATCCCCAGCAGAACAGGGTCAGGGCGGGCGTCTGCCGGATGCAGCTGAGCACCGTGAGGATGATCAGGGACAACAGAAGCCACACGAACGGCGGCACCGGAATATCCTTATACACGTTCACCACGAGCGCCGACAGGACGATCCACGGAATCGCCGATAGGAGGCACAGCCCGACGGTGGACAGGTACACCCGGTAGATGAACGCGCGCAGCTCCCGCTCGTTGATGACTATGATCTCAGGCCCCTCCGGTGGTTGGCCTTCGGCACCGCCTCTTCCGCCCCCAAGGCCGTACGGCGCCCAACGCGCATTCTGGTTATTCATGTGTTGACCAAGGATTTTGTATCAATTTACTGGGATTTTGACAAATTAAACGTGGCTGCCTAAATACAATGCACTGGGGTCTGTAAAGAATTCCTACATATTTTCCAATAGCTCAACTCGATTACTTTTTTGTAATATGAATTTAATTTCTTGCTAAATATGGCCTTTTCTTATAATTGTAGCTATTCTTATGAAATTTGTTTTCTTGCAATGCTGATTTTTCAAAATTCTCGGCTCTATTTTTAATGCCTTATCACAGCGATATTAGGAATATATTTCTGTCACTTTCATATTATCAAAGCAAGACTACACAGTACGGGAAGATCAGACGGAATGACTGGGTCCAATAATCAACCTCGATCACGGACTTTGAAGTCTTTGGATCTATGCCGCGACGAACTCGGACCCGTTAGAATTAACACAGAAGGATTTCTCAATCGAAGTCATTTTCGACGGTCATCCCATTCCTGGGATCCAGCGTTGTCGCGGTGGAGGCCTTTCTCTCGTCCACCAGGATGAAGTAGCATACGCAGCAGAAGAACATCATGGAGTGCAGGTACAAGGTCAGGGTGCAGACCATAAGGTGCTCCCTGGGAATTACCTCGACGACGTCCAGGCGGCCGTGGTTGAACTGCGCCTGGATGGGGATCGCGACGATCAGCATTACGAACAGGATGCTGACGAAGGCGTCCAGCAACTCCACGTTCCCGGTGCAGAGCTGGGCGATTCCCACGGCGATCAGGACCAGCAGCAGGGCCATCATCAGCAGCGTGGAGCAGACGCCGCCGGGCAGGAACTCCTGCGGGCACTTGGCCCCCGAGAAGTTTAGCACCAGGATGATCAGGGCCACCCCAATCATCACCAGGCTGATGGTCAGCATGCTGAGCTCGTCAATTATGCAGCAGCCGGCGACGATGGTGCACAGCACCACCAGGCTCGTCATTATCCACTTGCTGGGCGAGTAGTAGGACAGTCTGGGGAGGCAGTGCATGGTCACCATTGCCACGAATATGATGATGCCCAGGACGTAGGTGGGGAACGGCAGGTACCGGTGCGGGTGGACATTGGTCAGCAGGAGCAGCAGCCAGGCGGCCACCGTCACTCCGATGACGATTAGACTCAGGTTGTAGATGCTGCGGATGAACTGGGTCATCGGGTCCAGATCAGCGATCGTCGGCCGGACGTTGTCCTGGTGGTAGATGTTGTCCATCCCGTCGTGATCCCTGTGGATCGAGTGTCGAGACTGGGTCTGCCTACGCCCTGACAACTGCCTCTCGGCAAAGCTGCTCCCTTCCCCATCTTTTATAATGGAACATTTTTCCTATATGTGCAGTTTCGTTTAAATTGAGCTGGAAGACTTGTCTGGAACCCACCATTATTCAATTAGTTTCGTTAAAAAAGATATCAAAAATGTAAGCTTTATTAGCCAAAGACAGTATACTCAACTCAAATCCCATCCGAATTTCCACATTTAAGCTCCAGCCGTTGTGATAGTGTCCAGCCACCTGAAGAAACCATAGGTCCAGAAATGCTCACCACCTGGGTGTCCAGATGAGGTAGTAAAAGGCTGTGAAGGACAACAGAAAGTGCAGATAGACTGTGACGGCGCAAATAACGAACTCGTAGACGGGAAGCTTGAACCGCCTGCCGTGAACCACCTGAGCATGGTACAGAGCTGTGGGAATCACCATAATGGCCAAAAAGATGAAGTACAACAGTTGGTAGATCCTCCTGTTCGTGAAGACAAACATGATCAGCACGAAGATGGAGGCCACCACGAAGACGAAGACCAGGAGCAATATGGCTGCCTCGCCTGGGAGAACGATCCTGGGCAGCCAGGCTCCAGCAAAATAGCAGATCACAATCACGGCGGAGGCAGCCAGAAGGGCGAGGCACACGACCACTAGGTTGCGTTCCAGGAGAACCAGGATCATGCTCACGCCAGCAAGACTCACGAACATGCCTGCCAGGATGAAACTAAAGCAGTAGAACTTCCGGCACTTGGTTCCGATGCAGAGCACGAACAGTACGAAAAGGGACACCACTCCGCAAATAAAGCCGGGCAGCACGAGATCGGCTTCTAAAGGAAGGGCCTTCGACAGGATCATTGCCATGATCGCGGTGGTGACTGAGAATAGGCCGGCCATCATGTAGCAGCGCCGCATGAAAATCACTTCCGGCTTGGGCCCATTTCCGGTATCCTGGGAACTGGGGGCATCGCCATCGGGAACAGCCCGTGGTGCCCTCAAGCGATGGGGTGCTATGCGGAGCTGGTGACTCGGAGGATACTCAAAGTGAACCGCCGGACGGGGGACCTGCTCCTGCTGCTGCTGCGAAGGAAAGTTGAGCAGCTGAAGGGCAGGCGGCCAAAACACCCAGTAATTTCTCGAACTGCCACCGATCATTCTCTTTGGGAGCTCTTGGAGGGGCAATAACTGCTAAATTTTGACAATATGTTCAAGGCCAAGCTAGATGAAAGTCCAGGCCATTCCATCCTCTAGAACCTGGTACCTGTTCTTTATAACCCTAAAGTTTAGTAACAAAGTTGTTACAACAATTGTTATATTTTATTTGACACTATTTATAATTATTTTAAGAATATTTTATATTTATAAGTTCTTAATTTAAAAATAAAGAAAGTTAACTCTCATAGCAAGGTGCGACTTGGGATTTGAATGAGATTCGGAAACCATGTATTGCCTTGACGTCAAGATTAAGATTCACTAGAGAGATAATTCTGGTGTGTTGACGAGCATAAATATTTTACATTTTCCAAAACTTAACCGTGTTATGCCTTTCGATCAGGGCGGAAAACTCACCGAAGCATGCGAAAATCTACGAAGACTACAAAGCCAGCGTGGAAAATGCTAAGTAGCTGCGATCAAAGCTAAGAAAACAGCCACAAAGGAAGCCTACTCCCCTTCCCTGCTCACATTGTTTGTTGTTATTTTGCTGATCGCTTGAGTGACACGCAAAGGATACAGACAAGGAGTAGAAAGGAGTTCCCGAGATGTGTTCAGTGCCGCATCTGCGGCCTCGATCACGATCACTTTCACAGACGGTGGATGCTTCATGGCTGACGGCTGGACGGCATTGTTCGGGAATGACTCAATCTCAATCAGCTGGCTACGCTTATCCTTGATCCCCGCTAAAGACATGCAAATGCCAAGGGAGCAGACGATCGGGGAGAATGTCAGTTATCTGGCAGCTGCAGTCCGTGCAATAGATACGGTTACTACTCGAGGAAGTAACCCTTGAGTTGCCAATCAAATCTTTACCTTTTTCTGGTCCTCCTGATTGGATTATTGATTCGATGGAAAGTAAAACACGGTCCAGTTTTTCGGATCGCGATGCATTGCCTTAAAGTTACTTTTGTGTTTCATGGAATCCGAAGCAGAGCGTGTTTTAAGCTTTAAGAACTTTTTTAAAAGGGTAAAAGGCTTAGATGCTTAAAGTATCATTACTTACACTTTCCTATTTACCAAAATGCATCTTATATTTGGACTTAGGTTAAAGTATCCACTAAAATAGTTGTAGTCGCCTGAGGTAATTTAAAAACTCTCATGCCTTGACTATTGATTTTTCTCTTGCAGATTCTGGCCTTGGGATTAATATATACATATGCAGTGTGCATGTTCTACAACGGACTCTTCAGTGCAGGTCAATGTACCCATAGTGTAACTTTTTCGGTTTTCATTTTTTGCCATGGACTGACTGCGATGAAAGGGCCCGCAAGAGGTCGGGAGGAAAGTGAAAGCGGCGGCAAGTGCTTGACAACAACGACATGCAAGCATATGCAGTGGACCAGGTCGGGTCTAAGGCACCACCACCCCCTCCCCGCCTGGCAAACTAACTGCATTTCCCCCACCGACTTTCCCCAGCCCACACTCCATTTGGGATTTTGCATGCGAACACGAAATGTTCGGGAGCCGCAAAAAGCACAAGCCAAAAAGCTTACAGAAGCGTAACGAACGAGAACTGTCCGGAGATTTCGGCGGAGGGAAGGGGCCACCGTCATCCGTGGGTCAGTGGAGAAGACAGGTTGTCTCATTCTATGTGCCCTGGGCACGATTTATAATATTCTATTAGTTCCACGACTCGAGCCCGAGCCCGAGCCCCAGCTCGACTTTTGGGCCCAGCCCAGCCCAGCCCCGACCGGCTCTGACTGACTGTTGTGTGTGGCAGCGCAGTTAGCGCAGATAATACATCCGTTTCCGGTTAAGCCCATATTTTTGTGTCATTTAGTCGGCGGGCGGCGGGGAGGCGGAAGGCAGGGGGCGGGGCAGTGCGGCAAGTGGCGACCCTGCGTGTGTGGGAGTGGAATAGACAGCTACAGATGCTGGCTACACTGACAAAATTTCCACGTATAATAGATGGGTTTTTTGAGGAACTCATTTTTTTAGTGGTAGTGGTGCTGCACACAAAAATGTGTATACTTCAGTACTGTGAACAATAATCCAATGATGGAATTTTAAGCCCTTTTACCAACAAAGTTTGTCTGAATTTACTGTCGGTTAAAGCCTTTTTACCAGCAGAATTGTTGTTTATCAGTAAATTTATTTGAATGCTCGTACAAGTTCTTAGTTTTAAACGTGGGTAGAAAGTTCGGAAACAACTAAAACACATCCAAAGGTGACTAGTATTTTTCTCAGCGTAGCAGGGCTTACAATGCCGCTGACATGCCAGCTAACGAGGGGTGGTGGGGAGGATGGGGTGGCCCGTGGGTGGGATATAGACGGGCACGGAAAGGGGCAGTGGCATGTGCATGGACACGGACACGGGCTGGAACTGGAACTGGAACTGAAAATGGGGCTGGGCGCATCAAGTGATGCGACAAGTGCAGCAGACGCTGGAGCGGAATCGTCAACGCTTCCGCATATTTCTCATTTCCACAATTAAACATTGCGAGTGGAGCGTTATGGCGAATGCTCCAAGGGTTGCATAAGTTTCTGGGGGTTAGGGGGTTCGGGGGCTCAGGCGTTTCAGGGGTGCCGGCACTGAGGTCGGCTGGAGCCTGTTCCTTAGATAAATCAAAGGCAAAGCAATTAATAATGCATTTTTGGGGCGGGGAACCGGAGTGAGGGATTGGTAAATTTGCTGCATTTGCTCCAGAACGGAAGCTCAAATGGAGCTTGCAGCTAGGAAAGCCGGGTAATTATGCTCGCAGCCCCTTCGTAAACTCCCCCATTGAAACGGAAGTTCTGCATGACTTTCCCTGCTATATCTTATCGGGAAATCCAGCTCCGAGGCAGCTGGTAATGCATGGTTCCCTGTCCAGCATTACATGTTATTAATGTTATTAATGAGTTATTGTATAACACCTTCTGATTCGACGGCTGCTGTTTCGGTGCCTTCCTAGTTCGTCACCGAAAATGTTTACAAGTTGAGCAAATAAACAATATTGTGTCAACAATGCAGGCAAGCTGTTCAAACACACACCCACCAGAAAGTGAAAAGGTTTCATACAAATAAAATTGTAATCAAAATTTTACAAGGCATGGAAGTGTTTTTGGAGCCAGCCACCTGTCGTGCATTTACAATTTTATTTCCTATGCAACTGGTTTTTCTTTCAACTAAAAATGAATTCTTCACAATTCTTCTTCTTTTTAACCACTAAAACTTTAAGTAACATGGAAAGTTATGCTGTTCTAATTATGATACAATATCTGCAGTGTACAATACTTGAATCATGTCCAGCGCAACGGAAAATGAACCGAGTATAAAAAGCGCCCTCCAACACGGCGTTACTAATTACATTTGTGCTAATGTTAATTTGTTACAATTTCCGGAATTTCGCTAATTTATTTTTTCAACATTTTTATTAGTGGAATAAATTTACGTGCTAGAAGCAAGGGGTGGAGACTGTAGAACTTCCTCTTCAATTCAACCGAATATATCAACACTGAAGGAAATACATTAGCATATTTTATATGTAGGTGTAGAACGGGGGAAATGTAATTTATGATATAAATAAAACATACTGGCCAAAAGGTGATATTGAAACGAAAAGGAGGTCGTACTTAGTAAACTACTCTCAGTCGAAGCCCTAATAATCCAATTATTGATCCATTACTATCACTTTTCTCTGAGACCCACAACTGACCCACTGAAGGCCCACACAAATCCGCCGGCCGGACGATCGATTCGAATAATCATATTGTTGAGTGTCTTTTGTTTGCACTCGCTCTGGGTGAATAATACTTTTCGTGGGTGTTTGAATTTATGAACCGTTTATGGGTTATGGGCGAATTTTGCACTCGTCCAACCGGAACGCGCCGGCCGAACGGTTATGCCTTGAATTTTGATTGATTTTCAAGATATTAATATTTATTTATTTTATTTCTTTCTTCCATTTGCTTGTTGTCCCCCTTGGCTACGTTTTTATGGCTGGGCAGAATGTTGAAATAAACACGTTGTATTGGCGCTGTTAATGGCCGCATAAATTGTTGTCAGATATTAGTAATAAATATATATATTTTTCATATGTGTCACTGTTTGTTTATTTATCATAACAAATTTGTCGGTATTTGTCCGCACGTGCCAGTAATTTTGAGGCCCAAAGCCTCTCTAATGTATTAGCAGTGCATTAGTACCCATTAATCGAAGCTACAAGAAATCGTTCGCTGCAGGGCGAAAAGGTTAAAAGCGTGCTCACTGTTGGCATTTTGCCATCGTGAAATGCGCAAGGAAGCCAAACTACTGGTGCCCTATAGACCATATCCTGGCAGCCCTAGGAATATGAATCGATTTAACGGGTCGGTTCTAGGGGGTGTACCATGGGATATTATGGGATCTAAATTGTTTGCTTTTAGCTGCGCGGTTTCCTCACACGTGACTGGGGAAATTGATTGTGGCAGACTCATTAAGTGTTGTAATTTTCCAAGTTCATGCATTGAAGACAGTGGTAAATTGTTTGATTTCTGTAACTAAATGCTTAAAAAGACACACCCAAGCCTAAGCACTCTAAATATGTTATGTTTTATTTAATAATTTCTTAAGTGTTAATAAACAATCTTTTAAATGATTTATGCTTTTTGAAATTATTCTTTTAATAAATGTCTTCTAAACCTCAGCTTCAGTTAAAGTTCTGACCATGCCATGCCATCCAATAGGACTGACTGATGGTTGACACCCATGGCTCTGAATCAGTAGCCATTGATAGGCGACTGTTTGGTTGGCAGTGTTGCCATGGTTCATTAGAACCCATTAAGGTAAGCCCAACAAAGAACCGACAGGCAGAAGTGGAGATGCCAGCATATTCAGTTCCATCTACTCATAAAATTTGCAGCCCGTGGAGGGCAGCTGAGCGCCAAAAGCCGAAAACAAAATCCAAGTTGAACGAAGCGTACCAAATCATTTCCTACTAAAATCAACGAAACGGACATGCCGCAGAGGTGGAGTCGCCCATGTCGGCGGATTGTTTAAGTGGACGCGCGGAGGTGGTATGGGATCTGGATGGTCAGTGGTGGGGGTTGTGC